TTTTATTCTTGTTTGGAAACTAAATTTTCATTAAAAGCTTGAACCCCGCCCCCTCCCATCAGCTCTTGTTTCCAGACAGGCTGTATAAAAATTGCCCTTGCTCCCATTTGGTGAGGCATGATTAATTGTTGCCACTGAGTTATTCTGCATGGCGTTTCTGCATAGATGTTTTGTTTAAACCTGCACTTAAAGGGACTGTTAACTTGAATTACTGTGTGCATTTGGGGGATGTAGCCTGATGAAAGGAAATGTCCCAAAGCAATAAAACAAAGAGCATTTAAACTTGGTCTTGACATTGGAAATAAATTTTGGACAGATTTAGTGTTAAGTTTCCTAAACCTGAATTCTTAGCTGCGTATTAATACAAAGGGAACGTTGCTGTGGGACCACACTTTGCTTGCTAAAAGAAATATTGCATGCAAGTTGGTGATCTGTAGTTGAGCTGCGAGACAGGACTGACTCATGGGTGGCTGGTTTGAAGGATCAGTTTGTGCACTTTCTAGCTACAATCACAAAAGGGATGACTGATTCTCTTTCTTGATCCCCAGTGACAGCTTCTTCAGCTGAAGATGTCCAATAATGGTATTGAAACAGAAGACAAACCTCCTGCCCCGCCAATGAGAAACACCAGCACTATGATCGGATCTGGAAGCAAAGACACCGGCTCTTTAAACCACGGCTCGAAGCCTTTGCCTCCCAATCCTGAAGAAAAGAAAAAGAGAGACCGATTTTACCGATCAATCTTACCGGGAGATAAAAGTACAGTAGTTTGATATATTTTTTATTTCCTTCCATAAACTCCCTTTCTGCATGATGCTAAGCGTGAGTCTTTGGCTGGGAAGTGATCCTAATGACTCTTTGGAGGCTCATTCAGGACACGTACTATTTGTTGAATATGAAACTGTATTGGTCATGTTGGAAATATGTGGTTGTGCTTTGGAAATCTATTTTCCTAATAATTAACCACGTTCTCTTGCCATTCTTCCCTTCCCGTTTCTGTTTATCATGCGATCGGTGTGTGAGGGGAGTGTGTATACTATGAAGATGACATTAAGTGACTGTCCCGGGAAACAGGGAATTGGCCCTCCTTTTCAGCGGTTGTCTGAAGTGACTTTTCCTAGTTGCAACTGTTGCAGCTAAAGGAAGCCTTGGCCTGCTGTGGTTGTGACACTGAGAGCAGACTAGTACAGTACAAGTGTGCCTGAAGGGCCATCTCCCACCAGGCCTGTTATATGTTGCTACCTTGTCTTTGCCCTGAATTGCTGAATGGTTCAGATGTGATCTGTCATTTTGTTCTATTTTAAAATGTTGAGGTGGACATCATCTACCCACTACTACAAAAAATCCATTGGTATAATTTATCGCCTAATTTCCTCCATGTTGAAGGAACTCCTGCTGTAATGGAGAAGAGAATAGATGGAAATGGGGAAAGAGCTATGTCCCGTACATGCAAATTTAATTTCTACCATTAGGATATTTTAAAGACTGCACATTTATCATGTGAATCACTTGAAATGATAGAAGATGTTTTCCAGTCCTTAATCTGTACTATTTCCTTTTATAGCTATAACCTATTTTAGGGAACCTTGTCCTTTATAATACATGATCTCTCTGCTTCTCTAGGGATTGATAGTGTGCCCAGCACCCTGGCATCTGACTACTACATCAGTGGCTCTTTCTCTAGATTTTATATGTATGGTTATCTGTGCTTTCACTCTTACAGTAGGGTGTTGGACTCCTTTGTTCTGGTTATTAATTTAGTCCTATGATTTCTTCCTGCTCTCCATGCTCAGAATGGTGAAGATTCAGATTTGTAAAGCTGCTGTGAAGGAAACTGGTATATGTTTTCACGTACTACACATGCACTTCCCCCTTAAAAAATCAACTCCTGGAAATTTTAGTGCACAAGATGAGAAATACAGTAAGAACAGTTTTTGCCAATTATAAGCTGCGTGCAACTCCTAGGAAGCAGACCAATGAGCAGGCTCTTCTCTCTAGCTGCTGCATTTACATGAGATGCTAACTGTGCAATAGCCTAATAACACTGCACAGTATTGTGTTAGGCAAAACCCATGCTAATATGCCTAGTGCAGTAGTTTTAGGCGACTGTACAATTAGCATCTGAAAAAACCCATGTGCTGAGGCTACTGTGCAGTAGTGTGAGTTACTACGCATTGATTTAGTATTTGGCTAGCCAAGTACTAAACTTAATGCACAGTAACTACAGCTCATTAATAAACATGTAGACGCACCCAGTAACTACAAAGGAGGATCTTTTTTCTTTATTCTGCTTTTCAAAAATAAGGTGTGTATTATATTTTGGGGAATGTTGTATGTGGGAAAATATGGTGCCATCTCCACAGCACCCTGTCCCTGTCTGCTCTGTACTGAGGGCTGGTTTCCTATACCTCCTTAAGGCAGCCTCTACTTATCAAGCACCACGAAAAGCACGGGCAACGTCAATGGAAAATGAGTCGTTCAATGGTGAGAGTGAGCGGAGCTGCATGTGAGATATGAATGCAAGACTAGTGATGTTTCTTTGTAGTGTTGTGGTTGCTATACAGCAGGGCTGTCCAGTTCTTATGGCTGCTGTGGCAGACATGGCTTATTCTGGGGCAGGGCAGAGCAGATGGAGGGTCCTGCTAAGCTTGGTGGTGCAGGGGAGCTAGTGCTGTCTATGCTGGGTGGTCCTGGGGAGCTTGCATAGCATGTGGCCCATGGCCTGTGACCAGCGTGGCGTGGGGTCTCCGGCTGCTCAGCCCTGCCGTACGATGAGAACAGTACCAAATACTAAATGCTGGGCCAGTGGAAAGTGTTTCTCAGTGGACTTCTTTGGTTAAGGAATTGTCATTGGCAGGTATTGGTAGGGTCAAGTACTGGAATTAGATATCGGGGTCCTCCTTTTCTGTTCCCTTTCACATCTGCCCATATAAACTAGCACAAAACAGAATAAGAGGTCTTGGTAATCCCTGAGATCTGCACCAGTCCTTGGCTGCCTCAGATGAGTGCTGGCCCACAAAGGCTAAGCTTTATAGGCAAAACAGATGTTTTCCAGGTTTAAAAGGCAAGGCTGACTGTCTGAGCAGTGTGAACACCTGGGGAAGTCACATAAATAAGAAGAATATTTAGGTAGCTCATACTGCTTAGTCCATGAAGAACATGGAAATGCTCATTTGGTGGAAACACTGTGCCCTTTCATGGTCCATTGGGATGACATGTCCACTTACCTAAAACAAGCTCTGATGAGCCTACTTCGATACTAGAAATGGCATAATCATGGTTAGCTCAGCACTCTCCCTGGACTTGTATTCCCTGTGTTTTCACAGGGCAACTAGCCTTGAGGGGAGAGCTGCACAGAATGTGGCTGTACAGTTTCTGAGACCTGGGGCAGTTTGGCTAGCTCTGCAGAGCGTGACTTAATGCGGCATAGACATAGTCTTCTTATGGGTCTGTATCCGGAGCACAGCTTTCTGAAGCAAAACAGAGCCAAGCAGATCAGGCCGTAGGATGATTTGCAGGTTTTGGTAAGTGAACCTGGAGCTGTTCGGGGTGGAGTTTGGGGTTAGAATAGCTTTGTGTCATGGGGGTAGCTCTTCTGCTCCAGGAAGCACTGGGTGGTACAACTTCAGCTCTAACTGAATAGTTAAAAGGGCACAGATTTAATGGTAAATGGATCTAAGCACCAGCAGCTGTGCTGATTTCCAAGGGAGCTGTGAATCCTCTGGACCTCTTGGGACTAAGGCGTGATGCGATTTAGGGGACAGGGCTATTGGGATGTTGTCTGGAGCTGTCCACCCCAGGACGTGGCCTGGTGATAGTGGGGGACTTAGTTTGTAACTCAGGCTGTGCTATCCAACACCTACAACAAAAAGCAATGACAATGTTAACATTTTAATGCATTAGGCTTTGCAATCAGCCTCTTAGATTTGATCAAAAGCCTCCTTAGCACGCACATGCTTGGAATCAGATAAGAATATTTTAAGCATTTGAGTGCTGGTTTACTAAATCCAGGCATGTTTAGGTATTTTTACAGCATCCAAAGTTGCAGGCTGGGGCTGTGTAGGACCAGTCGAAAGCAACATGACATTATTCCTGCTGGCAGTAGCACGAACTTGGAGGTTAGACTGCAAACCACAGTATCTGTCCCAGAGCTCTGAATATAACTTGAGATATGACATGATAAGCAATAGGAAGAAGATACCTGGAAGAAAGACCAAAGACTAAAGCCATGAGCTTGCATGGTTGCTCGCTGGAGGTAGGTAGGTACCCCAAGGATTCTGGCTGAAGTCTGAGGTGCAGGAAGCCTGATCAGCTCATTCATCATCAAGCACGTCCAGCTCCAGTCTCGGTTTCGTTTCTGCCTGTGAGCTACACACAGAAAAAGAATGAAATCGTCAGTGCAGGTGCAGTTGCATTATTCATTCTTGATTGAAAACCACGCATATCATTTGATGTAACTGAGGCACATCCAAGCTGCAGCGCTGCTTATGTGAGGCTGCTTCTTGAATATGCATTTTTGTGTTTAATCTGAATTTGTAAGCAGCTGCGGGAGTCATCAAGACAGAATTCGTTATGCTGTCTGAGAAGGCATGCCGGGGTCGCTGATTAGTGAGAAGTTTTACCCCAGCAGATGTGGAATCTGGGTGCTAAATGCACCTGCATAAGTAGGTCCAAATTCAGTAGGTCCAAACACAGAGGCATGAAGAGTCCTGGACTATTAATTTTGGGTGGTAAATGGCATAATGCTCCTTAGGTCTTTTGCAGCCCGTCCTCCTTCAGACTGGTTTTAAGATCTGATCTAAAGGGTTTGGGTTGTCTTAGCACGGTTCTTAGCAGTGTCTCTCTCTTTTCTATCCCTTGTTGGCAACATGCAGTTTTCTCTGCCTTTTGCTGGATACAGCTGCTGTCCTGCCTGCTGCAGATGTTCAACATCTGGTAACCAGCTGGTGTTTCTGGTCCTTCCCAGCTTCCCTCTCTGCTGGCTCCTCCTCTGCTTCATCTGTTTCTTTTATTCCTCCCTTCACAAAAGCCACCATTATTTTGTGCATGCTCCAATAAAGCCTATGTGTGATTTCTTTTCTGGCTTTAGTCAAATCCTCCAGGCATGATATTCTGCAGTTACATCAGTTCAGTATAACTTGGAATCACTCTATTTATATCAGTGACATTGCACTAGATTGCTATGGGTATAATGGAGAGCAGAATGTGGCCCTCTAAAGCCACAAGATTCAAGTATTTCCACCTAGTTTCACTTGAAAAATGCTTTAAATGGTTGCAATGTGGGGAATAGAATAGTGGCTTTTTAGGATATATGGAGTTTTAAAAAAAACTACATTTTGGTGCTATGCATATTGAAAAGCCCCTGTATTGGGGGAAAGTCTGTCATAAAAGAACTACCCTTTGGCCAAGTACAGAGATTACACTTTTACTGGTATAAGTGATTGGAAACCGGTGATGAACCAGAAGTTCGACATGTATAGATTGGTTTAAAAATGGTGGAACCTGGTCTAAGATTTACCTTTCCCACCAAAGGGCACATGTGTTTTGTTCACTACCGATCTAAACTGTGCCACTTACAGAAAATCATGTAACAACATCACGTAACTTGGATTGATTCTGTTTCAAGCTTTTTGAATGTCTGGATTTAGTCTATAGACAGACAAGATAACGGTGGGAAAATAAGCAATTTAGGACCGACTCCTGCTTGTGCCCTGGTTATTCACTCTCCCTATCTGTACCAAAAATGCTGAAGTCATCCAATTTGATCAGCGCATCCAACCCTCACTCCAGTTTGCAGAGAACAGTATGTTTTAAAAGTAAAATGCATAAAATGTATTATATAATTGGTAGGGCTTTGTTAGACTCCCCAGGGATGATGTCAGTATGTTTTTAAAAAATTGATTCCAAGAATCTCAGAGTTTAATTATTTCTGCTCTTTCCTGCCTGTTGTTCCTCTGTTTTACCCACAGTTCCCATTTTGTTGCCATCCTGAAATAGTGTGTTGTGCTTCTGTTGTGCTTTCAAATGATTTGGTCAGAACCAACTTGGTAGATTCTTTAGTTTCGGCACATGGTTTTAAACTTGTTTGGCGATAATATTTAGAGGTGCACTGATATATTGATCGCGTATTGGATTGGCACTGATAATGGGAAAATTAATATTATCAGCAATTGGCTTTTTTTGGTTGGTGTAGCTGATAATGTCACTGATAAACGCTGCGTGTATGTGTGCAGCTGCAGCATGCATGGGGCAAGAAGTGCAGCCTGGTAGTTTGGAGAGCAGCATCTGGCTGTTAAGTCTGTCTGGGGGAAGGTGTGGGGGAGGAAAGGGGTATGGGGGGTGCAGATTGAGGCCCCCATGGTGAGGGAGGAAGTAGGGCTGGGGCAGGATGCAAGGTGGAGCCATGGGCTGCTCATTTGGGGGGTGCAGGGCGGCTCCCTGCTGCTGCTTGCACCCCTAGGGGAGGCATGGGGGGCATGTGGTCCCCAGATTTTTGCATGGGGCAAGGGCGGGCTGCCTGCTGTGGGCTTAGGGCCAGGAGCTGTGTTGGCCTCTTCCTGGTGGGGTGGGCTGGGGCTGCACTCGGGGTAAGCTCAGCTGTGTGGAGCGAGCAGTGGCAGGGGGAGCAGCGGCTATGGGGGGAGGCTGCAGGGAACTTTGGGGTGGCAATAGCCCCGCAAGCCCCCCTCTAGTGCCGCTGCCACCTGTCCTGCTCCTGCCCACCTCGAGCCCAGCCCTGTGCTGTGAAGAGGCTGGTGCAACCTCTGGACCTGAGCCCATAGCAGGCAGCCTGCCTTCACCCCACACACAAATCCAGAGGGGACATGCCCCCCCATGCCTCACTTGGGGTGAGCACAGTGGCGGGGAGCCACCCCACTCCCCACTCGCTCTGCCTCTTGGACAAGTGGCCCGCAGCTCTGCCTCGCCCCAGCTGGGCAGCCCCTGCCCCACTCCTTCCCTCACCATGGGGGCCTCGATCTGCTTTTCCCCCACCCCTTCAGTCTCCTTCCCCCTGACTTACCAGCTGGACGCTACTCTCCAAGCTGCTGGGCTGCATATCTGCTCGGTATCGGCCAAGAAAACCTTTATCAGTGCACCCCTAATAATATTAAATCATATTTTCTTAATTGATTGTCGGAGAAGATTATTTGCACGCATAACGTGATTGCCTTGAATTGTTCTGTTTTTTTAATCACTTAGGTGGAGGGGGTATTTGACGAGAGCCAGTATTTGCCAAATGATCTTTTTGATCTCCAGTATGGACATACGCAGTATAGACAACTTTTATCTTTTGCTAATAGCAGTGTATGAGTAGGTGATGTTAAACAGCTCTGTTGTTTTGGGATGGATTGGTGATGGTTTTTAAACTGGTTTTGCTCTGTGCCAGATTTGTTCAACTGCTGTAAATGTGTCCAGTTGTTCCTACCCCTGGTTCATCTGGAGTAAATGGGACACATTTTCAATAATGCTCAGCACCCAATAGCTGTTGTTTCTGGTCTGATTCTCAGAGAGCTTTTACCCAATGTCCACTCAATATGTCCCCCTGAAAATCTGGTCCTGACTGGTGCTGAGCCTCTCTGAAGAGTTGGCCCGTGCTATCTTACCTGCATTATGCTGTACTAGATTAGGGGTGCTCAACCCCCAGGCTGTGGGCCAGATGGCCGGGGTTGCCTGGGGCCTGATACCAATGTGTGGGACTGGGGCAGCATGGGGCCTGTCCTGCACACTGACCCCACGAATGATTTGGCCCACAGACGGGTCCTGTGCCACTCATCCAGCCTGTGCAAAGGTTGAGCACCGCTGTATTAGACTGAATGATGTGGTACGTTGACCAGCTGCTTTCGATTCAGATGAAATATTAAAGTTCACTTGTGGCTTAAGCGCGTGGGCTACTCACAGGGTTCTTCATTTGTGGTAGGGTTTGGTTTCACAGGGACCTATGAGCTGCTGGGGAAGGCTTTTTGTTCTTGATGGATTTTGCTTTCCTCGCTGACAGCCAATAAGAAGAAGGAGAAAGAACGACCAGAGATATCCCTCCCTTCAGATTTCGAGCACACGATTCACGTTGGGTTTGATGCTGTCACGGGAGAATTCACGGTAAGTAGAGAATTGCATGGTCGTGCTTGTTGTTGGAGGATCGGGGCATATTAAACGTACCTAAAGTAGTATTTGAAGGGACCCTGATAATCACTGAGCTGAACCTCTTACAAAATATAGGCCACAGATTCCCACGTGGTAGAGAGCCAGGCTACTTGAAGTTTGGCCTGTTCAAACTTGGCACTAATATATTCCAGAAGGCTGGACTACAGGTAAGTTTTCCACTTCCTGGTGTAGTGGGGAGCGACACAGCTTTTTCACAGAATAGAAATGATCAATCTCTTCTTGTTAGAGCCATGTCTTCTCTGAACTCCCGATCTCTTCTTAGGAGGCAGGCAGCTGCAAATGCCCATGCTAGTGTGTAGGACGTGATCTCTGAAGGCTGACAGTGATTTCAATTTATTCCTTTTTTTTTTAACTTCTGTACAAATCACTGGGGAGACGAGATCACATTTGATCATGCTTGGTTCTGAATTTGATTGTGAGATAGGATTGAACAGCAGCGGCACCACACAAGTAGTTTGCAAGGATAATCGTGTTTGGCTTTCTCTCTTTAATAAGCTTCACTTCCAGGGCCCCTGGGTGCCCTCGCTCTATTCTTGCTCACAGTCACACTGTGCATGGCTGCCTGTGGTACTCATCAGCTAGCCAAGATGAAGCAGTCAGGCAAAGCAGCTGACTGGTAGATCCATCAGTCTTTTAATGAGTGGGGTCAAAATCTCTGGAGTAGGGATTCTGGTACCTGGGACGCTGAAGTAGCAACAAATAGGAATATCAAGTGGTCTAGTGTTGACTGCTGACAAATGTCAGGGCTGGGCTGGGGTCCCCAGGCTTATCTTGCTGGTAGCTGAAGACATTTCTGTGGTGAAATTCTGTTTTTACTATTTGGGATGAACTTCTCCATAAGATGCCGTTAGAACTCCTCTACCATCACGACCAATGAGACAGGAACATGGGACTGGGAAGGGTTACCTGGGCCATCAAGCCCAGTTTCCTCCCAGTCAAGACAGCGCATTGCAATAGTACCAGGAAGCATTGAGTGGCACCATAGCTCCACTGGCATGGAAGTGGATGGTGCAGAGGGTTTGCCAATGTGGATCATTTTGCAGGGTCACAATTAAGGCTTCAAACCTTGCCCCTTGAGAGGCAAGTAAGTTGTTGGTCCACCAGGCTTTCCCCTCATTCAGATGCTGTCAATAATCTCCTTGAGCTTGAGTGAGAGAACTAAATGTTGCACACCTCCAGGTTTTAAATATTCTTGATGTGAATAGGCTGGTGGTAACTGCCTGAAACATCTCCCCCAGGGTATGCCAGAGCAATGGGCTCGGTTACTGCAGACATCAAACATCACCAAATCGGAGCAGAAGAAAAATCCCCAAGCTGTGCTCGATGTGCTCGAATTTTACAACTCCAAGAAGATCTCCAACAGCCAGAAGTACATGAGTTTCACGGGTAGGTGGTCAATCTTATTCTACTGTTTAACTAGGCTTCCTGGTAGCCCCAGGCATTTAAAATCAATTTGAAGAGTCACTTTTACAAAGGCAAGGCAGGTGAGTCTCGGCACAGCGAACAGCCCCCTTCCTTTGAAGTCTAGCCCAAGAATCTGGTAATCACTTGGACAGATCTGGGTGTGAAACAGAAGAGGTGTCAGCTGGGCAGATCCCAAAACATGTAGTGCCTTGCGGATTAACACTGGTAAGTGGGTCGCAGAGCTCTGGTGTTGTGGTCTTGGTGAGAAGAGTCCCTTTGGGAAGCAGTTATCACATTTTACACTAGCTTGGTTTTAAGATGTAGCTGCATGGATATGGGGGAATGGGGACTTTGAAACTATTAGTATGGTGAGACCCAGGGAATGTGGTTTTGCCAAGAGCTCTTTGTGGGATTTCTTTTAGCACAGAATAGGCTTTTGACGAAGAGGCACCGGCGAGGTTTGTCTGGTCACCACTCCTCCTTGCCGCACATCTGAGAACCATGCTCAGTGGCCCATTCCCTCCCCTTTGACTGCTTAGATAAGGGGTGTCAAAGATCTGGTTCATGGAGCCATGTTTTCTGCCCCGGGTGCTGCCCATGGGTCTCAGAGTTGACAGCAGGTGGCTGGAGAGCCCCACGTGCTGGCCACAGCTCCTACAGCAGCTGCATCCCAGAACGATGGAGGGATCGGCAGGTCATTTTGCCGCTCTGGCACTGCACTCCACGTGGTGGCTGCTCCAGGATTTTGGGACTGCGCTGCATGTGTCATTCACTCCAACTTGAGTCCTGGAGCCCCAGAACGGCTGCTGCATGCAGTGCGGCCCCAGAGCAGTGGACCAGCACATCTGGAGCTGCGCTGCACGTGGCATCCTTTCCAGCTGCTCCAGGACACATGCTGGATCTGGTCTATGGGTGCCATCTGGACCCGCCCGTGGGGCCAGATGAGTTTGACACCCCTGGCTACAATGGACAAGATTGTCACATGAGTCTGCATTGCTCAGCGGTCCCTGTTCATGATGGGGTCTCCTCATTGCGCTGACAGGGTTTCTAGTACTTTGTGCATATGAATGAAGGCACTGGCTCAGTTTCAGTTGCACTGATGCCTCTGGGGAATTGCACCCCTAACAGCAGGGAAGAGCTTGCCCTGATTGTGCTTGCAGAGTGTTAGATTTTTATTGTACAGGATGGCAGCTGGCTTGGGGAAATCCTTTGCACATCTTATTCCCTCAAGAAAACCCTCTTGGCACATCAAGAGCCTGCAGGAGCTCCAAGCCGTAGATCGCTTGTGGGCAGCAACTCCACATAGTCAGACTTCTTGACAAAATGACCTCCTGTTCTCTTAAACTGAATTGGATTTGAAATGATTAATTTGGTTCTGGGCTCCATCAGCTTCTGCTTCTCTCCACATGGCTGCGCATAGGGATTGCAAAGGGCTGGAATAGTTGGGACGCTTGTTGAACCTGGTTGGGAAGACAGTGAACAGTGCCTTGTAATCTGTCCAGGCTTTCTTGGAGTGCAAGGAATTAGTGCTGCGCGTGGCCCTGGAGTGGTGTCCAGAGCACTGAGGCAAGTGTCCAGACTCCCTGTACACTGGATGCGGAGCTTTAGGTGCTTCAGAGTAGGACTCAAAGCAGTCAGGACTGTCTTACCCACCCGGCTGGAAGCAGGGTAGGCACGGAGGCACCCTCTACCCAGCCCTCCATTGTGGTGCAATGGGCACAGTTTCAGAGTATTCACAGCTCACTGGAAGTGGGCGCACCTGGGTCCCAGCATCTGGTCTGCAAAAACCTCCTGCCTGGCCAGGAAACAGGTGCTGGCTAAAATGTCATTAGCCCTTTCCTGGACCAAACTCTTAGACCCCTTCATCACCCTGCGCTGGGGTTCACCCTCCCTAAGATGGGGATAATTCCTTTCCCCACAGCAGTTTACTATGTTTCTGCAGTTCTTGCCACAGCTTATTGCAGCCTGGGCCTCTAGGCATGGTTGCATTGCAAATCACTCATCATAATTGCAGTGGTATCTGTTTCTCTGTTTCAGATAAATCTGCAGAAGATTATAATTCATCAAATACAGTGGTAAGTTTTTTGTTGGTATTCATTTGGTTTTTCAAAGGTGCATAAAACAACATTAAAATCATTTTGCATTTAATGCTGGCTTGCTTTTTTCAAGTGTGGGGTATTCTAGACACCCAAAATATAGCTAAACAATATATTTAATCTATTTAAAGTCTTTCTAAAACATGCAAAAACTATGGTAACTGTCATTCTGACCTAAAAATGCATATATGTTTCCTTTCAGTTTTTCCTGTAAACTCTCTGTTGCTGGAATGTAAGGCACTAGACTCAAATGACTTTTATTATTAGTTAATTTACTGCATTCATAAAAGTGGATCTTTTTTGTAGAAGTGACATTGGTGTCCAGCAGTGTAAACAGGTCTACAAAATAAAATCCAGCCTGGTTTTTTCAGTGTACCAGGTAGATTTTATTGGTATCCAATCCATAAATGTCTTTTGATGTAACCAAACCATTAAAAGCCCACAAGATCTGACCGAACCGCTGTCGATGATTAACTGCATTCTTCTCAGGGAGGTCTTATCTTTTCTTTGACTTTTACTCCTCTTCCCACCCCCATGCACATACACAGCACATATGGATGCAACCAATATTCCCCTTTTATTGGGAGGATACAGTTGAGTAAGCGTTGATATTGCAACAGCCTGCAGGTTGGGAGAAGAGTTGTGGCGGGGGCGGGAAATGATCTGGGGGATGACACTAGGAAGCTTTAGCAAAGCTCCAGGGGTGCTTTTACATGTGCTTGGGGGGGTGGGAAAGTGCTTTAATTAGAGCAGCTCCAAGAGCCGCTCTAATTAAAGCACCCACAGTGTCTTGTGTATCAGCGACCTTGCACTTCAAAATGGCAGCAGGATGCTTGAACTGAAGCTTTAGTTTAAGCTTTAGTTAAAGCCCCCCCACTGCCCATTTTGAAGTCCAGGGACACTGTTGCATGAGATGCAGAGACTAGCTGCTAATTAGCACGCTCCAGCAGACTCGATTAATCAAGTTTGCTCTGACGTGCTGTAACAGAGCAGCCTCCCGGCATGTCTACAGGCACCCCGTGTGCTCAGGGAATTTTGCAACAGCTTCGAACACATAATGCGCTTCATGGCTGTAAGCAGCAGGGCTGAATGCAGCGTGTTTCAAATAAAGATCCAAATTGCTGCTGTGGTGATGGCAATAAATGGTGTCACTTTATTAACGCACAGAGCTCTCTGCATGAGACAGATATTCATAGAAAACAGTGTGTGCGTGCTCTCCGAGAGCTTGCTTACCTCTCAAGTACAACAGCTCCCCCTCTCAGGCTCCCTCACTGCTGTCCCATCACGGAGAGGGCCTTACTTTCCCCTAACTTTGAGAGAGCTTTTGAATCTATATTCAGTGTTTGGGCCCATCTCTGATCTTAGTATGGAAAAAAAAGGGGCATGTATACATGTGATGGACGTCTCTGCGATGTGTGGTAATTAGCATGCATTAAAGCAGACTCAATTAATCACGTCTGCTGTGAGTCTGTTGGAGCATGCTAATTAGCGCCCTTCAACAGCCTCTGCATCTTGTGTATTTAGTGTCCCTGCATGTCAAAATCGCTGTGGGTTCTGCAAGCTTGAGTTCAAGTGCCTCACTACCATTTTGAAGTGTGGGACACTGAATACACATGATGCTTTGGGCACTTTAATTAGGGTGGCTCTCAGAGCTGCTCTAATTAAAGTGCCCCCACCCTAGAGCGTGAGTATAGACACCCGAATGTTGTACTGAACTTTCCCCACTTTGATACAAGGGGGTGCATCTATGTAATTAATGCAACACAGTAAGCTCCGGAGCAGTTCAAGCTGGAGTCAACTGCTCCTGGGCGCAACGTCTACATGTGTGCCTGGGACTGCAGCAGTTTGAGCTGGGGTGGAGAAGCCCTAGGCTGGCAGGGGGCACAGAGGGTGGCAGGGGGCACAGAGGGTGTCAGTGTTGGGAGGCGGAGGGGCAGGTGGGAGCCAAGGGTCTGGCCCCTGGCTGGCTGGGTTTACCGGGTACAGTTTGCTTCTGCTGGTCACTGTCTACGTGCATGTTTAATCACACTTACTGACTCCACTGCAAGATAGTACTGTCCCCAACAGTACTGTCTTACAGAGGAGTTAATTAATTTTAGTGTGCCCTAATACCAGTGCATGTTTAGACAGTAACACTTTACTGCAGAGCTAATTAGTCTATTCCACAGTAAAGCATACATGTAGACGTATCCATGGGGAAGTTGCAATTTGCCCCTTTGGGACAGAGAAGGAAAACCCCTTTTCTTCCTTTCTTGTGCCCCTGCAAGTGCAGTGCAGCAGTAGGATGCCTGGGACATATGTTATGTGTCATTTGGTATCGCTGTGAGAGAGGATGTAGAGGTGCTTAGGCCCGAGTGAACCCAGCCAGCCATTAATGTGAAAATGTGGTAGTCTGATTTCTTAGCAGGTGAGATCGCACTGAGCAAAGGAAGTGAATCTGTACTCAGAACATTGTTTTTATTACTCTAGTTATTAAAATCTGTGCAGTGCTTCTGCCAAAGCTTGTTTTGTTGGCAAAGCAACATGCTGTCACTGTGCTAACAATCTGTCCTCTTGTTATTCCTGACACTTCGTGTTGTCCCGGAGGGAGAAGCTGCTGGAAAAAACAATTTTTTCCCCCCTGCAAATGGCAAGTGGAGGTTACCATTATTAATATATTTGAGGGAAAAAAGGCAGTCAATCTGTTGTCTGCTTTACTCCCCAGTCTTGAGGAAATGCTCACAGAGTCCATAGGCTGGATGTCCCCGTTCCCTGTAGCGTCTGGGTACCAAGAACTATTTTCCCCTGTTGTTGAGTGACTGAGGACCCTGGCTCCATGTTGATTTGTTGTACTTCTCAGCTGTGCCGAATGCCCAGTTTAAATCTTTTCCAGGCTGTTAGCCGCTGGTGGCTGACCTAGGTGTCCTGGTTAGCAGCTTCAGGTCGGCCTTGATGTTGATATTGCAACAACCTGCAGGTTGGAAGAAGAGTTGTAGGGGAGGGGAATGATCTGGAGGGTGACACTAGGAAGCTTTGATGAAGCTCCAGGGGTATTTTTACACATGCTGTGCAGGGGAGGGGGGGGCGCTTTAATTAGAGCGGCTCCAAGAACCACTCTAATTAAAGCACCCGTAGCGTCTCGTGTATCAGCCTCCCTGTGCTTCAAAAGGTGGTAGGGGTGCTTTAATTAAAGTTCATTCAATGTGCTTTAGCTAAAGCGCCCCTGCTGCCCATTTTGAAATGTGGGGACACTGATACACAAGACGCAGAGGCTGGCATGCTTCAGTAGACTCGATTAATCAAGTCTGCTCTGACGGGCTGTAACAGAGCAGGCTCCCAGCATGTCTACGGGCACCCCATGTTGCACACGCATGTGCTGCCCTTTGCTGTGAGGCCCCTTGGAGAATCAAAGGCTGAACCCCCTTTTTCTCCTGGGGATCAGGTGGCAGGAAGGCATGTGACAAGCATCGTGCACTGTGCACTAGGGCATTGGTTCTCATAGTTTGCATCCCACACTTCCCCGCATCCGACCCGGAGCACAGATTTGTAGCCTAGCTCCCTTATGGTGCTTTTGGCAGACGTGCCCCAGAATTGAGTTTTGCCCATGCTAATTTGCCCGGTTTCTTACACCCCATATGCAGCGCTTCTGGGGGCAGGCCCAGGGAACTGATTGAGAACCGCTGTGCTATGGACATCCCTTTAGAGCATCCCCCACTCAGTTATCTATGCTGGTTTGTGCCCCACTTCTCTTTGTAAAATAAAGTGTGGGGGAGACACCCTGTTCCCTAGTGCTAGACCTCTCCTCCGTGTTCCTCTGCCAGGCCTGATATAAATTGCACCTCACAGACAGATTACACTCTTCTGCATCCCCCAGTGGAGTGTCCCTGGCCTGCCTAGCTGTCAGCCTTTCCCTCCACGTAGGTTATGCCGTATGTGGATGCCTACCATGCTTATTTTGCATAGGGCTAGAAAAGCAGAGGGAAAAAGCCCAGTAAAATCTTTCCAGGCTGGGTTAAGGTACGTTTGGCAATTAGCCCCTTTCATGGTGGGTTCTTTAGAAGTGCATAGATAAGCTCTTCCCATGTGTGTGTGTTGCTGCGCTGCATTGGACCTAGTCAGCCAGTTTAAAAGAACTTCTGTCTCCAGGGCTGTCAGTCTAGGCCCTTTTTAAATGAGCTCTGCCAAGCTGCTGGAGAGAGAAGCTACTAGCTCTACAGTACATTTTCCATCTCCTCTCCCCTGCATGTAGCCAGCTTGATTTTCCTGGAGGAGCACAAGCTAAACAAAACCGCCTGAAGAAATAAACCCACTGTTTAGAGCACCACGGGCAAAAAGTGCTCATGCACATGGAATTAGGATGCCTTCTGGGTGGGCAGGGAGCCAGTTAAAGTTTCCTAACGTGGCTTTGGATATCCAAGTAACCACCAGAGTCACTGACTGGGAGCACTGTAAATAAGAGTCATGCTGCCTCTGGGCAGGGAGAGGTCAAGGTAGATGGGCCTGATTTAACGAGGCAGATTTTAAATAGCAAGAGCCATGTGAGATATGGGAGCTGGGCACACCGCCTCTGAATTGGTCTGAAGTTTGGATGGATCTTGCTTATAAACCCGGATGAACCAACTAAAATGTCGCTCCCCTTCAAGATTGGCAATGTACTTTGCAGCAGGTCAGATTCTGAGCCTGTTGCAAAAGCCCCTGGACTGTGCAGCTGGGGCATTAATCTAAGGTTAGTTTCTTGGGCACCGAATGTCACAGGGTAGATGTCAAATCTGCTTGTTTTTGTGGGGAGCAATTTTGTCCACAGCTGGTATTACAGTATTGCCTGGGTGTCTCGCAGACATCTGGGCCTGTTGTGTTTTGTGTTTTACAAGTGCTCAGTGACGCAGTTCCTGTCGGGAGAGCTTGCAGTCTAAATAACTGAGAAAGCATATTATCCCCATTAGAGGAGGTCCTGGCACAGAGCTCTTGGTACACTGGAAAAGCTTGTGTCCCACTTGTAAGGTCAATCTCTCTAAGCAGCCACATGCAATTGTAGTCCTTTGACTTGGCAGTGTGGCCCCGTGTAATGAAGACAAATTGCATCAAAGCATAGATCTAATTTTAGCTCCCTTTGCGCAATCTGAACCTGTGCAAAGATCCACTGACTTCATCAGACTTCATTGCAGACACGTTCCAGGGGCCATAGTGTCAGCTGACAACTAGGACTGTATGAGGCTTCAGTAACTGATTCGATTTGGAGGAGATTTGGCCCAATTTGGGGACCTAATCTCCAAATCTAAATCTAATTGGGAGACCAAGTAAAAGCTCCGAATCTATCTGAAGCACCTGAAGTGATTCGGAAAAGCTTTGGAAAAGATTTGTCTCATTCAAAGATTCGGCCATAGACTAAACAGGCAGCTGAGAGCTGCCTCCAACTGTTAAGTCTGTTGGGGTTGGGGGAGGAGGGAGGGAAGGGGCATGGGGGAGAGAGGGATTGGGGCTGGGGCTAGGACAAACTGCCCGGCCGGGGCAGGTGGGCATGTTACTCAGGGAGGGGGACAGGGGGGCATGGGATGCAGGCGTGGCAGCACTGGGAGTGGGTGCTCTGCCCTGCTGCTGCTTGCCCAGGCGGGGCAGGGGGAGACGGGATGTGGGCGCAGCTCGCTTCAGGCGGAAGGGGGTGAGTGGCAGCAGGGCATAGCCCCTGCTCCCAGCGCTGATGCGGGCAGCGCTCAGCATCCTGCTGAGCTGTGCTACACCTGTGCCATGGGGCAGCTGCTACATGGCTGCCAGGCAGCGGGGGGCAATCCCCGCTGATCCCCACTGCCTTGTGCTGTGCGGGGGGGCCCTGCCACAAGGTCCCAGAGGGCCCAATTGTGGCTGCTGCATCCAATGAGTGCAGGGCTTTTTTTTTTTTTTTTTTTAAAG